CCCCCCCCCCCCCCCCCCCCCCCCCCCCGGCCCCCCAAGGGGGGGGGGGGAGGGGGAGCAGCGGCGCACGAATCAGCTGTTTCGCGCGCCACGCGGCTCGGTCTCCCCCCTCCCTCCCAGGCTCTCAAACCTGGGAGGGGGGTGGGGGAGACTCCGAGTGGCCACGGCGCAGGCGCCGCTTCTCCCTCTCCCTCCCTCCTAGGCTTGAGAGCCTGGGGGGAGGAGGCAGGGCTGGGGATTTGGGGAAGGGGCGGAGTTAAGGCGGAGCCGGGGGTGGAGTAATTAAAGAATGGGGGGGGGAGGGGCAGCCAAAATTGTTTTTGCTTTGGGCGGCAAAAATCCTAGAGCCGGCCCTGCTCTCTCACCACCAGAAGTTGGTCCTCTAAACGATATTACCTCAGGCACCTGGTCTCTTTGATTTTGAGAGACTGCATTATTTAAAGAGTTGATTCTTCTGAAATCCAGTAATTTCTGGATGTGCAGGAACTACTGTTCTGGCTATATAACTGAGACCACCAGTGAAATCTTTTAACTATATACTTGCTGGTTTTCCATAAATATAAGAATTCAGTGATTATCATTAGAATTACTCATTAATTCCAAAAGGCAGTAAGGAGTAGAACAGCTGTTATTTGATAGAATTTGCCAGAAATCCAGTAGTCCCAAATTTTTGTAAAGAAAAATATCAACCATTTTCTTTACTGTCACTAGAAAACATCTTTTTTAGAAAAATATAATTAGAGAGTTAATTATAACTCTATATATAGCATCTTTATTTTTCTCTCCCACTCTCCCCAGTTACAGCTCACAAATGTTGGTAGATACGAGGAAATGTCAGGAGTAAACCGAAGAGTGCATTTCTAATCAAAGGAACTTTAGGTAATAAAGTGCTTTGGGAAACACAGTGCTTTGAAATCCATAAATGGAAGACACTATATAAATGCCAAGTATTATTCTTGTATGCAGCGTTGTTGTAGCCATGTTGGTCCCAGGATACTAGAGAGGCAAGGTGAATGAGGTAGTATTTTTTATTGGATCAACTTCTTGTGATGAGGGAGACAAGCTTTTGAACTTACATAGAGCTCTTCTTCAGCTCTCTTTCACCAACAAAAGTTGGTCCAATAAAAGATATTACCTCATCCACCTTGTCTCTCAAGTATTATTATTTTGTAAGGTACGGAAGAGAAGAGAAAGTCACTTCATATTTATATTAGAGAGGCAAGGTGGGTGAGCTAACATCTTTTATTGGACCATCTTCTGGTGGTGGGAAAGACAAGCTTTTGAGAGCTCTTCTTCATCCAAAGTGTGTTAGGCATTTTACAGACAAGTATGAAGACAATCCTAACTCACAATCCTCAAAAGATTACTTGTAATTATCACCTCTAACTAGGCTATCACAAGTCCAATCAAGCACTCCCTCTTGGCCACTCTTCAGAATGCTGTGAGGGGATCGAGCTGCTGGATCCCATGTGTTTTAAGCCTCCATAGTCTGAACACTGTTCAGACACTGGCCGTATTGTATGGCCTCTGAGCACTGAGGTGCACATCTTCTGTCTGGTACCCCATCCAGAGATCTGAGACCATGTGGCTCACTGTCCTGTCCCTGGAACCAGTGCTGACACCAGTGCTGACACCTCAGACTTTCCCTTGTAGCTTAAACACACCCTCTCCAAGAACTCCATGTAAGGTATGAGCCTTTTGGGTTACCACTTCAAGGGACATAGTAGATGTAATGCATGAAATGCACAGACACTTTGCACAGGATCTAACATTCTATTGCTTTTTCTTTAATAAAATGAGAAATACATAGGTCCATACAAAAATAATGACCCCTACACACATTTCCCTGTCTCAGTTTCATCACCATACTTGAGCATTCTTTGGGCTGAGGTGAGAGTTGTCTGGGGCCATCCAAGGTCTTTCTGTTTCAATATATGACTTGGGTTCTGAAAAAAGGAGCCTCCTCCTGCCCCAGCTCATTTACTCTGATCTTGGCTGGTCCATCCATTTCCCCTTCCTCCTGCCCAGAACTTCCCGTCTGCCTCTCTGAGCCTCACCGTGAGTCCTTTTATAACCTCCTGCTTTGTCACCTCTGTCTTTTTGTTCTGTTTGGTGAATTTCCAGTCTCTTCACTCCCCACTGCATTCAAACAAGAAGAGTACATATCTTCTCCCAGCGCCAGCAAACCCACTGTCCCAAGGAACTAAATCAACCTTAATAGGTGGTCACAGAAATCTAATGACCCACTATTGAACCTGGTTTGGGAGGTACATGCTGAAGGGCTTGTAAGCAACAGTGGATACACACAGACGAAGTGGCATTCATGCTACAGCAATTTTGAAAGTAACAACTTTATAATAACTTCATGGGAATTCGTGTTGCACATAGTTCACCAAATCACATAGGTATACATTGATTACAATCTGGGGAAGTCAGAAACACATTTTGCTGTGAAATATTAGAATACCCCAATGCGGAGCATTGGAAGGGGAGAGGGGATTTACTCCTTGCTCTGAAGCACACAGCTTTGGCCAGCGAACAGATGGCCCATCTGTTACAGTGCTGCTACCCATCACAAATATTGTAGCATTATTAGGGGGTTGTTAGCAGATCCACTGGGACAGGACATGTCATTGAAATGTGGCCATTTTCTCTTGCTACAAAATATTTCCTCAAGATGTAACCATAATTTTATTCTTGATATCATGGATTCATAGATTTTAAGGCCAGAAGATCATCCAGTCCGACCGCCTGTATATAACAGGCCATTAAATTTCACCCAGCTGCCCCTGTACTGAGCCCAATAACTTGTGTCTGGCTAACACATATCTTCCAGAAAGGCAGCCAGTCTGGCTGTGAAGACACGAGGAGACAGTAGGGTTACCATTCGTCCGGATTTACCCGGACATGTCCTCCTTTTGTGTGCTAAAAATAGCGTCCGGGGGGAATTTGTAAAGCACTCACAATGTCCGGGATTTCCCCCCAGGCAGAGCGAGCGGCTGGGAGGGCTGCAGGAAAGTCCCGGGCTGGACTCCGGAGCAGCTTCC